ACCATTACCCTGACTCAGTCACACATGGTGCAGCAGGTCCTTCAGCGCTTCGGCTTCACGTACTCCTCGCCTCAGGCCACTCCTCTGCCTACTCGCCACTCGCTCTCAGCTCTGCCTTCGGATGAGTCCGTAGAGTCGAGTGGCCCGTACCCAGAGCTTGTTGGCTGCCTCATGTACCTGATGACCTGCACACGACCTGACCTTGCATACCCTCTTAGCATTCTCGCACGCTATGTTGCTCCTGGGAGACACAGACCGGAGCACATGGCTGCAGCGAAGAGGGTGTTGCGCTACTTGTGCAGTACGTCGGGCATGGGGCTTGTGCTTGGAGGGCAGAGTCCAGTGGTCCTTACTGGGCACGCAGACGCTTCTTGGGCTGACGACCAGGCTACGCAGCGGTCGTCACAGGGTTACACCTTCAGCCTTGGTTCCGGCTCTGTTTCGTGGCGGGCTACTCGCTCGTCTTCTGTTCTCGGCTCCAGTTGTGAGGCTGAGATCTACGCAGGAGCCATGGCTGCACAGGAGCTTCGCTGGCTCACCTACCTGCTGACTGACCTCGGAGAGCCGCCTCGTTCTCCTCCAGTGCTGTACGTAGACAACAAGGCCATGCTGGCCTTGTGTCGGGAGCAGCGACTGGAGCACAGAACGAAGCACATTGCTCTCCGCTACTTTCTTGCTCGTGAGCTGCAGCAGCGTGGTCAGCTGCGTCTTGCGTACGTGGCCTCTGAGGCCAACACTGCTGATATTTTCACCAAGGCGCTTGCGCCTTGTGACCATCAGCGCTTCTGTACTCAGCTGGGCCTTGTGCCTACCTTGCCTCACTTGCTCACCTCTTGACCTTGCTTGTACTGTTACATATATATATACCTGCTCTTGCTTGTCTAGCCTTTTTTATATATATGTACTCCTGCATGTGAACTGGCCTTGTGGCCTTGAACTTGTGCTCGGAATGTGTGGTGACTTTGTGATCCACCCTGAGCTTGCTTTGCTGTGCTTTGCTTGACTGGTCTTGTGACCCCTTGTTCTCCCCCACTTTGCCTATGGGGGTGTGTCAGAACATATAGCTCATGCATATTGTGTAGGCTATAGTGGGGTAGCCCATAAGGGGTACAACCCAATTAGGGTTAGTACTTGTACCCAATTCATTCATAGTTCATTCATTCCTCGTTTCTTCTCAGCTTCCGCTCTGCTAGCGGAGTAGTTAATGCGTTGCTACGGGGGCCGATACTAGATGTTGACGACATTCTCTTGGGCACTCTGGTCGTGTGCGAACGTTACTGCGACGGTTCTGATCTGACATGCGTCACAGGGGCCAAGGCGCTCGAGTCAAAGTTTGCAGTCTCGTAACAATCTCGTCGCGTGGTCGCCACCCAATCGCTGTACCTACCAAACCAAACCAGCCGAAGCTCGCTCTGGAAGTAGTTTTGGTTCGATGCGAGCACATAACGGACCAAATTCCAAACCAGCCTCCACATTCCCGAACCGACCAACCATGCTCCTCTCCTTCGTGCTGAACTGAACTGAACCACCACAACCATTCTGCTCCCAACAACCACCTCCAGCTTTGAGCTGGTGTAGAAAACACGGTTGAGAACGATGCTGAGCATTCTGGTACGGTCAGTGTGCTTCACCGCTTTGTACCATTGGGAAGAGCTGGGGAAGGCGAATTTCTACGCGGTCCACCTAGATAGACCTGCGTCCACCATAAGTTGCTGCAGTCTAGTCACGTGTAGTAGTGCTCCATAGTATAGGAGCTGCGGGAATGTCGAAAACAACTGAGTGAGCATAGCAGGACACACTCGCGTTTGTGCTGCTCCAGGTGTTCGCTGCAAGTCGTAGCATCGTTGGCTTACGAAGTTGTCGCTAGGCAGGGCGTGGTTGATCATTTCGGCGATTGAGGCTACGAGCTGCAGTTTGGGAAAAGTTTTTGTTTTGACTCATTTTCCTGGCACTCGGACGTGGAGCTTTCACCTAGTTCGCTGATTGTTATTGTCTCCATGGGTGACATGGAGTCTCCTAGAACCCACATCGACCATCTCACCGACGACCAGTTGATTAGCATCTTTTGGAACGTAGTACTTCCATTAAAATCGTACAAATCCAAGAGCGATGATCTTTGGAACTTCCTTCCTTTCAAGCCCAAGTACGTCTCCAACGCTAACCCAGAGCTCTCACTCGTTACGCCTAGAGACACTCCCATGCCGACCCCTCCAGCCTTCGCAGGTGCCGCTCATAATCTTCTCATCGCGTCGATCTGCCCGTCGCTGGCGGCATCTCGCTCAGAGGCATGTCTCATCGCTCCTCATCAAGGAGGACCGCGTCGTGCCTCACCGCGATTTGCTCAACGCCATCGCTTGCTTCCCGAACCTGACCCACCTGCATCTCTTGGACGGAAGTCTTGAATCTCTAGACAACACCTTTCTAGCCGACCTCGCCTCTTCGTGCCCGCGGCTGAGAGCGCTTCACGTGGGGAAGATGACGTTGTGTGCGGGCAAGGGACGACCTGGTTGGAACGGCGCCCGCCTGATAGGCAAGTTCGGCTTGGAGCATCTCGCCCGTCTCTGCCCGCACCTGGAGCACCTGTCGCTGGAGTGGCTCGATAGATGTGCCAAGCCTCCAGACTCTCTCTTTCAGCTGCCGTTGCGCACCCTCGTCTTGAACAATTTAGCTGCCTTAACGATTCCAAAAATCAGATCCCTTTCGCCGTCTCTCACTGCACTCTCCTTTGGAACTAACTTCCTTTACTACGACGAGCTTTCCAGAATCCTTCGACTCACCAACCTCACTCGCCTCTCCTTGCCTAGAACCGGCCGTATTCCCCGTACGCGTGACGTCGCACTCGCACAGCTACCTTCTCTCGAGTCATTGGAAGTAGAGCGTGTTGATAACTTTAGAGACATTTTCCTGCCCAATTTTCAATACAGGTCTTTGAAACGGCTGCAGCTTACCTCTTGCTACAGAGAAGAGCGGCTCCCAGACAGTTTTGGAGAGATGCTGCCGTGCCTCCAAGAGCTCAGCATCAGTGACTGCATGAGCATCAGCGACTTGACTGATGAGTTCACCTCTTTCACCTGCCTGGAGATCTTGACCATTTCTGGATGCAACGTGTCCTTGCTACCTGAAAACTTTGGGGATCTTCCAGCCTTGAAGACACTTGTGCTGAACGAGTCGGGGTTTCGCCGTCTCCCTGCTTCCTTCACCAGCCTCGTGTCTCTGGAGACGTTGCTTGTGCTTCATTATATATGGGATGATCTACCTGCGGGATTTGGTTGCCTCACAGCACTCCGGACTCTCTCTCTTGCGTGTTCCCCGTCCCCGAACCTGGACCTTCAAGAAGACTTGGTGGGGCTGACGAGTCTCCAAACCTTCCGTCTCCAACAGTCTGTCAGAGAGCAGCTGCCGTCCTCATTCACGCAGCTGGCGTCGCTGACCAGGTTGGAGCTGGATGAGTGCAGTCTTGTTGGGCTGCCAGAGGGAGTGGGCACGATGGCAAGGCTGCAGGAGCTGTATATTCGCGCCTGCCCTGACATTACGGGGATTACAGAATCTGTGACAAACCTTGTTAGCCTTCGGGTGCTCATCATAGAAAGGTGTCCCCGTTTCTCGTCGCTTCCCAGAAGGCTGGACAGCCTTACCAGCCTAACACAGTTGGAGGTGAGGGGATGTGAGCTGCTGAACGAAGCCCCTCAGGCTCTGCTGCTCAGTCTTCGGGTTCTGTTCTTCAAAAACAATCAGCTGCTGGTGTCTCTCCCAGGCATAACGACTCTTACAGAGCTCAGGAAACTGTGCCTGGGCATCGTGGGTGCGAAATGTGTTGAGGGCATCGGTGAGCATCTCTCTGGTCTGGAGCACCTGGAGGCGCAGCTGGGAGAAGGCGCCGAGGAGACTCTGTCCGCGTTGACAAGGCTTCCCTGCCTCCGCACCTTGACACTCAAGGGGGATTGCAGCTTCAAAAGACTGGTGGAATGTGAAGGCGCGGGATTGTTGGAGCTGCGGCAGCTGAACATCGACACCACGTGTGATGAATTCACAGAGCTGCCTGCGACCTTCACCACTCTCCACCACCTCACATCCCTTAAGATCCACGCGCCGAATTTATCTTCCCTTCCAGAAGCCTTTGGGGCACTCTCAAGACTGCGCAAGCTTAACTTATCCAACTGCTCGTCCCTCACACATCTCCCCGATTCCCTCACGCAGCTCTCCTTCCTGCATGAGCTGAAAGTTAGCAACACCAGCATCCGGCTGCTTCCGCCTGGCTTGACTCAGCTTAGCAGACTGAGGAGGCTCGATGTACATAGCTGCAAGCACCTCGAGGCTCTGCCTGACGGCATATCTGAACTCAGAATGCTCGATCGCTTGTCCACTAGGTGGTGTGACGAGGTCCAGCGCCGAACGTGCCTTTCACACTCATGAGGTAGATCTCTATTTGGATGCAAGCATACTCAGGCTCGTTCACAAACTTGTATGCATTTTTAATCACCGGTAATCATTTAGGGGTGTATAATTTGCATATTTCAAGGTTAGAAAGTCAGATTTGACTGAGTGAACCTTCTTTCCAGCCTTGAAATTATTGCGCTGAATTTTTCTAGGAGGTTGGAAGAATTCTTTCAGGGTTCTCCTGGCTCAAAGTCTACATTGCACATGGCATAGGTACGGTACGGTACATGACGTAAAAACATGTGGGATGTTGTAAAAGTGTGCAAGAGCTTGATGCACCACATCATACATGAACACTGTGTAGCTTATCTTATTGGCGATGTGTCACACAATTGAGTAATGTAATGACTCCTCACTTCTCGTTAGTCCTTGGGTGAAGAAAAAAAACATTTTATCCGCCACAGCATTTTTCCGGCACTGTCTCGTCGAACCCTCCAAACCCCAATACCCTCTTTGCAAACTTACTTCATATAACCCTCCCTCTCCCCTCCTTCACCCCTTTCTACTCACTGTCATTCCAGAAGGACCTATCTCAACCTCATGGGTCTCACGGGTCTTGTGGGTCACATCACATTGCATAATAGCGAGGCAATGTCCTGGATAAGGGGGAAATGGGAGAAGATGAAGCAGTGGTCCGGCGAGGCAAGGTGAAGGGACAGTATTACATGTGGTAGCAGCAGGTAATGAGGAAGAAGGGTGGTAGCAGCAGGTAAGGAAGAAGGGTGGTAGCAGCAGGTGAGGCGGAAGAAGGGTGGTAGCAGCAGGTGAGGAGGAAGAAGGGTGGTAGCAGCAGGTGAGGAGGAAGAAGGGTGGTAGCAGCAGGTGAGGAGGAAGAAGGGTGGTAGCAGCAGGTGAGGAGGAAGAAGGGTGGTAGCAGCAGGTGAGGAGGAAGAAGGGTGGTAGCAGCAGGTGAGGCGGAAGAAGGGTGGTAGCAGCAGGTGAGGAGGAAGAAGGGTGGTAGCAGCAGGTGAGGAGGAAGAAGGGTGGTAGCAGCAGGTGAGGAGGAAGAAGGGTGGTAGCAGAAGGTGAGGAGGAAGAAGGGTGGTAGCAGCAGGTGAGGAGGAAGAAGGGTGGTAGCAGCAGGTGAGGAGGAAGAAGGGTGGTAGCAGCAGGTGAGGAGGAAGAAGGGTGGTAGCAGCAGGTGAGGAGGAAGAAGGGTGGTAGCAGCAGGTGAGGAGGAAGAAGGGTGGTAGCAGCAGGTGAGGAGGAAGAAGGGTGGTAGCAGCAGGTGAGGAGGAATAAGGGTGGTAGCAGAAGGTGAGGAGGAAGAAGGGTGGTAGCAGCAGGTGAGGAGGAAGAAGGGTGGTAGCAGAAGGTGTGGAAGAAGAAGGGTGGTAGCAGCAGGTGAGGAGGAAGAAGGGTGGTAGCAGCAGGTGAGGAGGAAGAAGGGTGGTAGCAGCAGGTGAGGAGGAAGAAGGGTGGTAGCAGCAGGTGAGGAGGAAGAAGGATGGTAGCAGCAGGTGAGGAGGAAGAAGGGTGGTAGCAGCAGGTGAGGAGGAAGAAGGGTGGTAGCAGCAGGTGAGGAGGAAGAAGGGTGGTAGCAGCAGGTGAGGAGGAAGAAGGGTGGTAGCAGCAGGTGAGGAGGAAGAAGGGTGGTAGAAGCAGGTGAGGAGGAAGAAGGGTGGTAGCAGCAGGTGAGGAGGAAGAAGGGTGGTAGCAGCAGGTGAGGAGGAAGAAGGGTGGTAGCAGCAGGTGAGGAGGAAGAAGGGTGGTAGCAGCAGGTGAGGAGGAAGAAGGGTGGTAGCAGCAGGTGAGGAGGAAGAAGGGTGGTAGCAGCAGGTGAGGAGGAAGAAGGGTGGTAGCAGCAGGTGAGGAGGAAGAAGGGTGGTAGAAGCAGGTGAGGAGGAAGAAGGGTGGTAGCAGCAGGTGAGGAGGAAGAAGGGTGGTAGCAGCAGGTGAGGAGGAAGAAGGGTGGTAGCAGCAGGTGAGGAGGAAGAAGGGTGGTAGCAGCAGGTGAGGAGGAAGAAGGGTGGTAGCAGCAGGTGAGGAGGAAGAAGGGTGGTAGCAGCAGGTGAGGAGGAAGAAGGGTGGTAGCAGCAGGTGAGGCGGAAGAAGGGTGGTAGCAGCAGGTGAGGAGGAAGAAGGGTGGTAGCAGCAGGTGAGGAGGAAGAAGGGTGGTAGCAGCAGGTGAGGCGGAAGAAGGGTGGTAGCAGCAGGTGAGGAGGAAGAAGGGTGGTAGCAGCAGGTGAGGAGGAAGAAGGGTGGTAGCAGCAGGTGAGGCGGAAGAAGGTGAAGGTTGAAAAGTTGTCGTTGCACCTTCTGACCAAGGAGTGATCGAAGGAATCCATTCCCACCTTGGCACTTCATACATGAGTGGGCGGCGCAGCTCCTGAAATCCCGAACGGTAGAGAGGTATATGGAAACTTGGCCTGTGGGAGCTGTGAGTGCGGCAAGGCAAGCGGTAGGTGAAGGTGTGCAAAAACCCCCACTCCTCTCTTTCCCCCCACTCCCCTCGTACCTTTCACTCCTCTCATACCCCCACTACTCTCAAAACCCCCACTCCCATTATACCTCCACTGGTCTCATTCTCCCCATTCCTTTCATACTCCCCAACCCCGTTATCATAACTCCTCTCATATCCCCACACTCCTCTCATACCCCTCACTCCTCTCATAACCCCCACTCCTCTCATAAACCACACTCCTGTCCTGCCCCTCACCCAGTCATATCCCCACTCCTCTCACAGCCCCCACTCCTCCTCTCATAATCCCCACTCATCCTCACATACCCCCCACTCCGGGTGAGTCAGGTGAATGACTCAGGTGGTAGACTCAGGTGGGTGACTCAGGTGGGTGATTTAGCTGGGTGATTCAGGTGGGTGATTCAGGTCGGTGGCTCAGGTGGGTGACTCAGGTGGGTGACTCAGGTGGGTGACTCAGGTGGGTGACTCAGGTGGGTGGCTCAGGTGGGTGATTCAGGTGGGTGACTCAGGTGGGTGACTCAGGTGGGTGACTCAGGTGGGTGACTCAGGTGGGTGATTCAGGTGGGTGACTCAGGTGGGCAATTCAGGTGGGCGACTCAGGTGGGTGACTCAGGTGGGTGACTCAGGTGGGTGGCTCAGGTGGGTGATTCAGGTGGGTGACTCAGGTGGGTGACTCAGGTGGGTGACTCAGGTGGGTGACTCAGGTGGGTGATTCAGGTGGGTGACTCAGGTGGGCAATTCAGGTGGGCGACTCAGGTGGGTGACTCAGGTGGGTGACTCAGGTGGGTGACTCAGGTGGGTGACTCAGGTGGTTGACTCAAGTGGGTGACTCAGGTGGGTGACTCCGTGTGTTGCTCGCCAACATTACCCATGGCTTCGAGGCTGGCATGGAATATGTTTATTGAACAGTTGTGACAATGACGAGCACTATATGATGCTCACTCGCCACGTCCAGCAGCTAATCCACGGTGGCATGTGCACGATGAGGGTGCCAGAATTAAGCAGGAGCCAAGCCTGCAGTAACCAACTGTTGGGGGGGTGTACTGAGTGTTTGGATGTGGAGGTGCAGAAAAAGGGTGCATTCGCGAACTTAGTTGGCAATTTAATGTCTTTACGTAGGAAACATACGTTTACTTACGTGGGCCCAAAACGGCTTTACGTTTATGGTCTGCTCGGAAAGAAAAGAATTCAGAGGACTAAGCGGCTACATGGGAAGCAACTAACCAATCGGTAGCTTGGTTGTTCTACGGCCAAGCAAGTTAGCGTTTACATCATCTTACAGGTGCTCGACACGTACACCGACATGTCACAGCCTCTCCCACCTCATATCAGTCAGATACCTTCCATTTTGCATATGCTTTTGGTTTTTTTTTCCATGCTTGCGCGACTTTAAGTAACCTTACGAGTTAGGAAACGTAGGAAACGTAAAGGTAAACTTACGCGTAAGTTTACGTTTACGTGTCCCTAAACTACGTAAAGTACCAACTAAGGTCGCGATAGACTCAATCCTTGGCAAATTGCACCGACCGCGTAATGCAGTTGGGATTCTATGTTTACAAAAACAAGCAACTCATTATGGTCAGGTGTGACGACGATCACCAACAACGTCAGAAGTGAGAAGGGCGAGCTGTTTGCATCACTGCAATGCACAGTGAGATGCCCTTAGCATGACTGTGAATGGACAAGGTCACACTGATGGATTTGCGAGGAAGGAGATTAAGGCAACGGACCATATGGGTGGGCACTGCAGTAGTGTGTATGAACTCTGCCCCTTCCGTCTACTTCACCACTTCTTATCCAGCAATTCCCTCGCCTCGAGCAAGGTGCTGCACTTGTGCACTTGTATATGCTAATTGATTGGAGCACTACCAAACTGACAACATACTTAGTTATGATTCTTATATTAACAATTTACCCTCATGCAACTGTTCTATCATGCCGGAGAACCCTCTAAGACGCTCAAGTCCAAGTGCAAGGCACAACCACCATACCATACCATACCAAGCCATCAACATGCACACACCTCCACACTCAAACCAGTCCTTGCCTATCTCAGAATTTCTTGGACTCCCTTTTCTGCATCATCACTCCCTGGCACCCTATCCGCCTGCGTACATCTTCATCGTAGACCCAAACCCCTTGTGGAAGCAATAGAGTTGTCAGCTTGGTCAAGGGAGCCAACTGCTGCAGCCCATCTTCCGTGACCGGCGGTTTGCGAGATGAAGAAGAGGGCCTCAAGTGCCGTAGACCGACATCAGTCACCTTGGTCTTCCAGAGATAAAGTTGCTTCAGACTGGTCAGGGACCCAATGCCTTCCAAGGCACTGTCTGAGATGTCTGTATCGTTGAGGTTTAACATCTCCAGCCGTGGCAGCCTGTAGAGGTGCTTGATGCCCTCTGCAGTGAAGCCTGAGGTAGAATCCAAGCTGATGCTCGTCAGGTGCGTCATCGTGGACGCATGATCGAGAATGTCGTCTGAGAGGCTATGGAGTTTCGAGAGTCTCAGATGGTTTTGTCGTGATGCTGACTTGATTCGCTGGGGGAGGTGATGGATGAAGTGAGAAGGAATGACCATGTTACAACAGCAAGCACCACATGCAGTGCCAAGCCATGGATCCATTGCCAACCATGCACGCTCTGTCAACCCATGCATGCCTTGTCAAACCATGCATCCCCTGTCAAACCATGCATCCCCTGTCAAACCATGCATCCCCTGTCAAACCATGCATCCCTTGTAAAATCATGCATCTCCTGTCACATAGACATGAGCAGCGAGCCGGGTTTTGACTCGACTATTTGTCGAGTACAGTCGGCTCGATGCTTTTGCCAATGCATCCCCCGTTTTAGGTCGAGTCGGGCCTGACTTGTCGAGACACAGCTCAACACAAGTTCGTTGACTCATGTCGAAAGTTGTGGTACTTGCGCCCAATTCTTCTCCCCTTGACACAGTCAAAACCTCTAAAGAAATCAGAGTCGCATGTTCGAGTTCGAGTTTCTCTATGGTGCTGAACCATGCATCCCCTGTCCAACCATGCATCCCCTGTCCAACCATGCATCCCCTGTCCAACCATGCATCCCTTAGCGAACCATGCATTCCATGTCAAACAATGCATGTCCTGTCAAATAGGTAACCTTGCACTCACCTCCCATGCAGTCTTTTGATGGCCTTTCCTCTGGCTGATTTCCAACTCAACCTTCACCCAATCCTTGCAGGCTGCCAATTCCTCCATGGCACGATTCAACTCCTGAATCTCGCTCCTCCTCTCCTCTCTCTCCCTTGCCAACTCTGCTATCAATTTACCCTCTCTTTTCCTAGCTTCCTCCCTCAGCTCTCTTAAATCCGACAGTCTTCTCCTCTCAGCCATATCCAATTGCTCTATCATAAAGGCCTTGTGTTCAGTCAGTTCCCCCTTCACTCCAACCAGCTCCCCCCTCACTGCTGCCAACTCCATCTCCCTCTTCTCCACCGCAGCAGCAGTCGCCACACAACTCTCGCCCACAACACCGAGTGCACGCCTCGACTCATTCACCTCATTCTCCAGAGCAGAATTCCTCTCCTCCAACATCAGCACTCGCTCATTCTGTCGGGCCAATTCCTCCCAAACTGCTGCCAACTCCCCTCTCACTAATCCGAGCACGCCTTTCACTGCTTCAGTTATTGCATTTGCTTCCCTCTCTATAGCCATAACTACAGCTTGAGTAGCTCTCTCCTTGCAAACTGCCCAAAGTGGATGGAGTCAAACAGGGACACACACAAGAACATGAGGGACTGACATCCAATCCTATGTTGGAATATAAGCATATGGCGTATGGCACGACCTCGTACCGTACTCTTTCGTACATACGTTGTAAGTATCTTCTTCAAGCTCAGATATACAGTCGAAATATGAAAAGTCGGGCAGGGTCTAAAATTTCACGGGCAGCAATATCAGGGCGATGGTGCAGATACTCTGTGCAAGGCTGCAGGATGCAACCAGATCTGCACGGAACTTGCACGGATTTGGCTGCGGATTTCAGATCCGCATGGCTCTGGACAGCTGCCTGTGTGAGGCTGTGTGAGGAAGGGGTGGGGGTAAGGTAAGTGTTCGCCTTTGACATTTAAGTCTGTGCTTCGCGAAATCGTGCATGCTGGTTGTTACCTTAGCGACATTTCAAGAGCAAAGTGGTCTAGAGCAAGGCCTCAACTCGGTCAAATCACTCGACTACAGCGAGAAGAGTATCGCTTGTCGAGAAGAATGCATGGGGTCCAAGATACTGACCTTGTGAGGTGAGTGGCGAACGAAGAAATAGATGGCGTGGAGTGGAGTGGAGCACCGAAAGTGGAAAGCGGATGGCAGAGAAACGGACAGGTGGAGTAGAAGAAGGGAAGGGGCAGCTGAGGAGGCGGTGACTGTGGGTGGAAGAAGACATGGGGTTGAGATGCAGGAGGCATGGGAGAGAACTTGTTGAAATCGACAGCGGAAAAGAAGGTGGCATGGCAAGAAAGTAGCGGGTAGCAAGAACGCCTGAGTCAATCCTAGCAACAATCGGATGATGTCACTGGCTTGCGAAGCAAGGGAGGAGGAAAAGGAATGAACAAACGGAAACCTAGGCTAGTGACAGAAAAAGCAGCAGCAGCTTGAAGTGGAGAGGATGAGGCGAGTTGGATTGGAGTAAAAAAGTTTAATTACGAAATGGTGGAGGCAAGCTAAGAGTGGATGAGACTATTAGAAGACATGCAAAGTGATGAGTGGTTGGAGGAGCAGGGCGCACAGGAAGAGGAAGCAGGAAACGAAGGGGAAGAGGTGCACCACTGAGACAGTTGGAGGGGCGTGCGTACGTGTATGGAAGGGTACGTGAGCCAGATGGCCGCAGCGAGGTGCCCGTTAGGACCCACCAGGCGCTTCTCAGCTGCTGGCAAGCTCGTGGAGAAAAAGGTTGTGAAAAGGAGCAATGCCACAATACCAAATGGAGGAACTATACCCGACTCTAGGCGAAGGCTAACGAGGGACCGTGACAGAGGGAGGCATCATGGCACTGCGGCATTTTTTTCGTAAGGCATCACTTGACGCGGTGACGTGACATGGCACGGTCAAAAGCCATCGACCCGACGCGCGGCATGCGGTGCAAGCAAAGGACCAGGGAGGGAAGCGGGGGCGCCGGGGACGGAGAACTAACTGGGGGGCGGTGGAGCCGTCGATATTCCTTGCGCGACTCACATCATCCGCGAGACGGTTTTCACCCTTGACATGACCGGCGTAGGATTAAATAAACGGACCCACGACTTTTCCCAAACAGTTGACTCACGAACCGCGTTCTGGCAATGGCTTGGGACAGGAGATAGTCACGTCTTGTTTCGGTAAGTCGGATTCCTCGCGTCATTACCGTTCGACATCACACCCCAATTGTTCGACTTGCGGGGCTTTTATCACGGTTAGGTTTTCATTTCTGTTTCTGGTAACAGGGTGTTACATTTTGGAGTGCCAGTTACAGGTTTCACTCGACATCGAACACAATAGATGAAGTGTTCAGTCTCGACCTTTGAACCAACCCTTGGACGAATCTAGTGCGTCCTGTCTGAACAGACTGGACTTTATTTTGAACCAAGATTGCGATTCGTGTACTATATACGTCCTCAGCACTACTACCTTCCACTTTCACAGATTCCCTGCCATCCCTTTGCTTCCGTCAGAGCGAGATTGAAAACATCCGTGCAGCACTTAGCGGAACTCGCGGTATTTCGCATAATTTAAACGGCTGCGTTGTATCATATGAGTCGGAAATGATGTCCTTGTTCGCATTGCCTCGATGTCGCCACGGCCGACATTCCGCCATCGACTTGCTACCATTAGGGTTCTGCGCCACGTAGGCATTACGAGGTTACTAGTAAGGCCCACCGAGGCGAGGAGCCCGATGGCGAGCCCATCCGAGTCGCGCCACTTTTTTCGCGTGCGAACGCAATTCCAGTGCTGCCCCTCTCACCACTGAAGTGCCGCACTCGCCGTGGGTGGACGCAACCGCAGGTGGAACACTCGCTCTCACCTGACCGAGGCAAGACAACGATGGCGCTGCCAAGACGGAGGTGAGAGAAGTCGAAGTCGAGAAGGCTGCCGTATCGCAATGTTGGAATAGCCCGAGAAGCTGCTGAGTCACTCTCCGATCATCATGATCTTTTCCCACTTCTTCCGGCCTCCCTCCCTTTGCGTCACCGCGCATCTCAAAACATTGAGGGACTCGTACTATGTAGGTATAGGTTTTTCTACATTCGATTTACTCTATATACCTCTGTATCTGCAATGTAGAAAAACCTAGGTATATAGTATGAGGGTCAAACAGTTTATACGGCGTATCCGCGCCCGGTATCGCGTATTTTGGCGCTAGTTCGCTGATGAGGCAAAAAGAACTTGCTGGTGCCAGTGGGTTTAATGCGCGAGGCCTCTCACCTGACGGCTTCCCTTGAAAGGCGATTTTTGCCAGGACAATCCCCCCTCTGCTCGCATCCTTGTCACGTTCGTATCATTTGGCTACCCCACGTGCCAACCGTCACATTCTGATGCTTCTACCCCGTCCCCCTGCGCTCCCCTCTTCCCTCCGCTCCAACCCCCCCCCCCCCCCCCCCCCCCCCCCAAACCCACGCTATCCCGCAGGTGCTTGCCGCCTTCCATGTGGAAAGGGCAGCGTCGCAGGGAGGATCTGGCAGTTCACGATTCCCACGTCAGCAGCAGCGTGTGCACGGCGCGTGCCCCGCGGCTCGCCACTTGGACGTCGCGCGTGCACCGGCCATCCAACCTCTTCACCGCATTCCACGCTGTGGACTCCGCCACCCAAATCTTCCACTGAACCCGCGCAGCCCCTGAGCCCCTCCGTCGCCTGCGCTGATCAGCGCGCTCATCGTAACTGCCTCCGTGCGCCATCAGCCCGATGGGGTAAGAATCGGCGTGGAGGTGAGCAGCAGGACGGCAGTTTGTGAAGGGGGACGGGTGGGAACAGGCCTCCGTGATGGCTGCAGTGGGTGCGAAGGGTTAACGGCGGTGCCAGGTCTCGCTCTTTGCACCACCCACGCTAGCTGCTGGCGGTGATGTTGGTGGTAGTGTTGCTATTGGTGAGGGTAGTGGCGGCGCTGCTGCTGCTGGTGTTGTGCGTGTCGCGTTGGCCGCGGGGAGGGGACAGTGGGGGGGAGCTCGCAGTGGTCGTTTTCCGCCTGCTGCCATCGCACAGGATCGCCCACAGCAGCCAACCCCACAAGGGCAGAGCATGTGGCACATTTTGGAGCAGGCGCAGGGAGTGGTGAGAGAAGCAGATGGAAGCTGCACAGGGTCAGCGGGGGAGATTGCTTTCGCAGAGCTGATGCGAATGGCGCAGGAGGAGCGGGGTGCGGTGATGAGAGGTGAGGGCGGTGACAGGGTGGGGCGGGCACGAACCGGCCCGGTTTGTTTATGCATATTACCGAACCGGTTCAGTTTGGTGATTTGCTCGTCTAGGCGGGGGGGAGGCGATGGCCGGGTGGCGGAAGTGCACAGAGATCCACCATGCCGCTGCAGCAGCGCTGTGGCGGTGATTTGCTCGTCTAGGTAGGGGAGAGGGGCGCTCGATTTGTCCGCTGCTCGTAATGCCGGGCGGGAACAGCCTGTGCCAACAGGTAACAGGCTGTGCCTAGGCGGGACGCACTTTAGCAGATAGTCAGTCCTTTGCGGGGATCTCGAGTAGCGCGCGCCGACACCAGAGTGCGTGCGGTGATGCTGGCGGAATGGGGCAGGGGGAGAGAGGAGGAGAGGGCACCGGATGGATTGGGGGGGTAGTGAGCAGGGTAGCGAGTGTGGAGTAGTGAGACAGGCAGGCAGCGCTGGGCAGTGGATAGGGGGCGCGCTGTCACGGCCAATGCAGCTGCAGGGTGGTTGCAGCAAGGGGTACAGTACAGCAGAGGTAGGTAGGGTAAAGGGGAGCATGAGCGGTGGTAGGGTGAGTTAGCGGGAGTGTGTGGTGGAGACGCATGGGCGGAAGTGGTGGAGGTGGATTCGCAGCTGACGGCGCGTTCCCGTCCGTTCCCCCGCGCCCGTCTCACTCCGTCAGCGCAACCCACCAACGGTATGCCGTCGCCCCTCTCCTCTCCCCCCCCCCCCCCCCCCCCCCCCCCCCCCTCCCCTCTCCCCTACCCCGGCTTCGAACCCGCCAGCCACACCATGGCAGTAGGGCAGTTCGCGTCCCCGGGCCACGCCATTCTTCCATCTGTTGAGGGGAGATAGGGGGAGGGATGGAAGAGAAGGTGGGGTTGTAGCGCAGGAAAAGTGAGAAAGAGGGCAAGATGGCGTCATTGCTGTAGTATGCAAATTGTTAGAATGATCAGTTGGACACTTAACCATCTGTGACATTTTGGAGATAAACTTATTATGGGAAAAAACAATGTGGGGGACAAATATTGCTCATGTGTGTGCTATGTCCTTTTCCCCCTCCTTCCCCTGCCCTATTGGGGGGTTTTTTGCCTGCCCGAACTTTTATTTACGCTGCCTGGCCCTGCCTCTTTTTAGCATCTCGAAAACCCGAAAACTTGCATCCTGCGTCTAAGATGCACGACGCGTCTTTCCCAAATTTCAGGGTGGTGGGCTTTTTGAAACGTGACACTTTATTTTGCCAACCACATTCCAACCCACACCACCCACTAGTCAAAGAGCTTGAATTCTTCATTAGTTTGCGGATCTCAGGATGAGCAAAGGCATAGCGAGAAAATGAAGGGAGCTTGTGTGAGGTGGACTGGAGGAATCCTAGCCTTTCTTGCGTGTGTATGTGCTGGTGTATCACACGTGTTTGAACTGTAAAGGATATCACAACATGAATCCCCCTACCATTGCTCTTGTCTACTGCCCTCACCATTCCTGCCTCTGTCCACTTTCATCGTGCTTGCTCCCCTCCCAGAATCCTCTCTTTAGTCTCCGCCTCTCCCCATCGCACCACCTCTCCTGGTTGCCTCTTCTCCCTGTCACCGCTGCTGCTCTCTTCGTCCACTGCCTCGTTACTGCATATTTGCTCGTCAATTGCTCCTCCTCTACCTCATTTTCCACTCCTGCTTCCCTTCCCCTGATTTGGGCTTTCTACTTTTCTCATACACCTTGCACCTGACCCCCTTATTTTACAAGTTGACTATCACCCATTTTCATATGATGATTCTTTACTCGTTGGCCTCATCTCTATTGGTCTTCCGCCCATGCCCTGTTGTTCGATCAGACTACACATCCCTACCTTGGTCGCCTCTTCCGCACTCTGTACACATCTGTCCTCCTCCCTCTGCTGCTTATGTCTCCTTCCTCCCCTGCTTCTCTGTTCCCCTCCCTCCCCTGGTTGTGCATGCTTGTTCGTCAGCTACTTAAGATTGGTCGTGCTCCCCAGATCCCCCCATCCCCCATCCCCTCCCCAACTCCCCCTATCCCCCCCCACCCGCCTTTTCCCCCCTTCTCCCCTTCTCTCAGTCAGACTGCTGAGTTGCTTCTCTTACCGTCTTGCCTTGCCTCCCTCCCACCAACACCACCTACCGTTGCTCACCATCCCCCATACACCAGGTTGTGGTATTGCCGTATACATACAGCATGAGCCACCAGCTCCTGCACTGCAGCCCGCCTGCTCTCCTGCTCCTTCGTTACCCTTTCAATTTCCACATCAGCCCTTCATCACGCCATGGCTCTCGGGTGCGTCTCACGTGCGCTCTCCCCCAAGTTTCAGCTGGATGGGGAGAGGTTTGTGTGGAGAAGAATAGGTGTGGGTAGGGCAGGAGGAGGCGGAGAGGGGCGAGATGAGGTGGTGGTGGCTTGGGAGAGGAGAAGTGAGGTGGGGATCTCTGCTCCTGCAATGTATGGGGTGCATATGACACATCCCTGGCCAGGTTGCAGGCCGGGCTCGGCCCAGTGTTTTTACGCGGGCCAGCCTGGCCCGGCACTCAGAGAGCATGTCCCGGCCCAAAATTGGCCCGGGCCTGGGCCAATTTTGGGCCAGGACAGGCTGGTCAGTGACCCGAGCCGGGCACATCACATTTTTAGGCGCGACAAGAGGGGGGTGTAAGCGGGGGGGTGTGTGGGAGCTGTAAGGGAAGGGGGGGGGGGGGGGGGGAGGGGGAAGCGACAAGCGGAGAATCTGGGCGCGAGCATGGGTTTGTGTGGGTGGGAGCATGGGGGGTGGAGGGGGGCAGGGAAGGGGTGGGGGGGAGGGAGAGGGGGGGATCTCCCCCTCCCCTCCCACATAATGTGCCTTGGTGTGGATGCCTATGTTTCTTGCTCCCCTGCTTTCATACCCCTTCCTCTCTTCCACGCATCCTCTCTTCCCACCCTCATCCCTCTCTTAAACAGATTACGCGCGTTGGCACTGACAGCGTGTTGGTGGCCACGTGGCATCACCTGCCAGAGACGCCCAGGCAGGAAGAGCAGCTGAGGCGAGGCAAGGAGGTAGAAGAGGCAAGCGGCGACGCCAGGAGCATCCTGGCGAAGATGAGCCACGAGATCCGACCGGATGGAGTTGCTGAAGCGGGAGGAGCAGCTAAGGTGAGGCAAGGAGGCAGCAGAGGTGGTAAGCGAGGCCAAGAGGATCGTGCCAAGCGAGGCCACGGGTTCCGCATTTCCTTAAAATGCGTGCTAGGTGAGAGGCATGGGGGCGAAGAGTGAAAGTGGGTGCTGGCTGCACGCTGTTCATTGCATGCTGAACATGTGGGGCTTTAGGACACACATGGAGAAATGAAAATACGCAAGCATATGGCATGATCACATGTCATGAATGCAGATGCGACAGCAGACAGGGCGACGTACCAACTCGAAGGTGAGAGAAGTAAGTAGGTCGAGGGATTTGAATTCCGCTCTTGTTGTATCCATTGGCACTGGTCACACCTCCCTCCTTTGGTTCATCTGTTGCTGACACAACAGAATGAACCTGAGCACTGCTAGTGACTAGAGTCTAGTGCCCGTTTTGGCACTAATGTTTTTACGAGGAAGAATGAATGTAAGCACTCCTTTCCCTGTGCAATGTCACCAGCAGCTAACTTCCACTCCCCTCTCCCTTTTCAGCAGTACGCTCCAACCTACTTCCCTCTCTCCCTCGCAAACCCTTCCCTTTGCTGCACAGGCAGCACCTTGCCTCGGCTGCACGAGTTGTGAGAAGCCAACGCATGTCTATGACACACAGGAGCCAAGGGCTGCTGCAGCAGCCCCTTCTTGCCATTCACTCCTTTGATGATCCAAGCGTCCCTCCCCATCTCATCTCCTCCTCTGCTTATCTTCACCTTCCGATCTCCTCCCCCATCATACCAACCAAGCAGCGGATTACAGCCATTGCACCTTCGGATAACCCGCTCCCTCCATCCCACATCGGCTACACCAGGACAACCTGCTCTCCCTCAAGTTCCCTCTCAATGCCTCATTCGCCCTCAAGCATAACACTTGACCCATCTGAGCCCTCCACGCCGGCTGCTGCCACTGCTGCTACAACAGCCGCTACAACAGCCGAGCCCTCCACGCCGGCTGTTGTAGCAGCAGCGGCAGCAGCGGTGACGAGAAAGGCATAACTTGGGAACAGGGGGGTCGAGAGGAGGCCGAGAAGGGGGTGGTGGGCGGGGAGCATGGGCACTTCGCCATGCACTGCTGCAGCAGGTGCTGCTGCATCCACGCCTTTCAACGCCTGCTGTAGCAGCATCGGTGGTGGTTGTGTCTGTTGCAACCCCCCCCACCGCATTCAACTCCTTCTGTTCCGCGCTCATCATCCCTATTAATTCTTCCTGTCTTCCACAACTTCGTTGAGCCTTGCTTCAACGGGTGTGTGTCGTATGTGGTCGGCTGAATACACTGAGTTACCTAGACTACATGTTAAGAGGTGAGGTTTTAGCATTCCTATCGTGTAGTTTGCAAAACAGAAGTTGTTTTTCCTTTACATTCTGCAGTACCGAGGCAAGTGGCAACATTTGAACGAAACAAATCTAGCACTCTGCCCCATGCATCTCCATCATCCACAATCATCTCCCCCATTTTCTTCCTCGTACATGCCCCTCTTTGCCATTGCAAACCCTCCTTTACACCCCTGTCTGCAAACTCCCCCAAATTTCTTCCCAACCCTTACTTTCCTGCTGCACTTGCTGCAACTTTTCGAGTTTTCCATTTCCCCACACCGCTGCCACCATACACTATCTGAGCACAGAGGGACACGGGAAGGGTGCCACGCAGCAGCAGAAGCTGAGTCAGCAGCAACCAGACGAGGAAGGGTGCATTGAGTGGGTGGAATTCTGGGATGTAGTGAAAGGGTAATATATAAGATGGTTACCGTCTAACCCCGGATATAAGCGCCACGGCGCTTATAATAAAACATGTTTTTTTAAGGGTGGCGCTTGTAATTGAATAACGGCCATAAGCGCCGGCGCTTATATCATGGCAAAAATGAAATTGTATATTTTTTGTATCAAATCGAAGCCCGTAATAAGGCGAACAAGATTGTGTAACGTGCGCGTGGCATCATGCATGGAAACCCGCCGAAAATTGCCGCGCTTCGGTTTCCAGCCGCACAAAGCCCGTCCAGGAGCAGCGCACCTGCCAGCGCTGACGTGAAAGATGCCTTGCGGCCCAATCAGGCTTTCATGCGCTGGGTGGCAGCTGCAATTCACCCGAACCATCTAGAAGCGGCTGGAATGCCCTGCCAGCGCAGCATCGTGCGTGGCGCGATACCCTCCTCTCCGGGTTCAGACAGGGGACACCCGTCTCTCCACGACGAGGACCCCGTGGCGCTAGCCAGAAGGGGTCCCTTTGAATCCTTCATTTGTTCATCCTTTCATTCAGTTTCCCGTTCTTGGTTCTTGGCCACTCTCGCCATGCTGCGGAAGCCATGGCGGAATTCAGCGGCACGCACTTCTTGTTCAAGAAAAAGCCTACGCGCAAGCCCGCGTTTAGAGTAGACGCAGACGGGTGGTACTCCCGTGTCCCACCATCACCACCAGAGCCACCACAGCCTCCTGCGCCTCCTGCGCCTCCTGCTCCTCCTTCGCCTCCTGCACCTCCTGAGCCTCCTCTTCCTCCTGTTCCCTTGTCTACTAAGGGTCCTGTGCCTCCGCTACACGCTGGAGCTGAGCCCGTGCTCACGCTGCTGCTCCCATCGGCGTTTGACGAATGGATCTCCGAACCAGAGTCTGACAAGGCGCAAGATGAGGAGGTCGAAGTGGAGTACGTGCCTGGTTCACGGTGGGGACAGCCTGACGATTGCCCGTGGGACGAATCTGCAGTCGGCGCCGACGATGATGTTGCTGAGGAAGCTGACGCTGACGCTGAGGAAGCGAGCGGCGCTTACGCCGGCGAGGGTGGCACGGAGGCGAGCGCCGGGGGCGGCGCCGAGGGCGGCTCCGCTGAAGATGTTTTTCCAGAAGGCGTTCCCGGCGACGATGCCGACGACGGCGTGGAGTACTGGTCTCGCGACGGGCTTCCCGAGACCTTGCCGATACCTTCCTATCCCCCGATCAATCGCAAGCGACCCCACCCCTCTACCCAGAACCGTGATGCCCGCCCCCCCTCTCCCAGGCACAAGCTCACCGACCACAAGAGGCAAGGTTACACCGCCGCGGAGAAGTTGAAGTCTTGCTTTGGCGGTGTCGGTGCGCCAATTGTCTCGCGAGAGCGGAATCCACCCCAAGTGCCTCACCAACTGGAAGCGGGCGTCTGAATTCCTCAAGGAAATTCATTCCGCTCGGAAGCGCATGCACGGCCGCGGGAAAGCGTCGTGGTACCGGCCTATGGAGTTGAAGGTGTACGAGAAACTTCTCGAGTGGCGCCGCAAGGGAACCGCCGTATCAGTCGGGCGCCTGCAGGAGTGGTCGCGGGAGTACATGAGGCTGCTGTACCCGGACAAGCCGTGGAAAGGAAGCCAGAGGTGGTCGCAGCGCTTTCGGCGTCGATGGAATCTGAGCGTCCGCATGAAGACCCGGGTTGCCCAGAAAACCGCCGCGCGTAAGAGTTACCCCGTGTACTTTGCCCTGTGATTTTTAAATTGTTGTACTAACACCCGCCATGTGTGTCCGTCCTCCCTTCCACCGCCCTTCAGATGTCGCCGAGCAGTGCCAGAGCTTCTGGAAGTTCGTGCGTGCCAAGCGTCGTGAGCGCGGCATCGACACCGCGTGGATCATCAACGCGGACCAGACACCGCTCTGGCTGGAGATGCCCGCCACCACCACCGTGGATGAAACGGGTGTTCGCTCGGTGCCTATCAGGAGCGCGGGCTATCAGAAGCAGCGTGTGACCGTGATGTTGGCGTGCACGGCGGACGGATTGAAGCTGAAGCCGTGGGTGTACTTCAAGCACAAGACCGTGCTTAAGGGCAATTTCCCACCCTGTAAGTCAATACGGTAGGTGCACTGCTCGTTAACTGCGCCATGCTTCCGACTGCGAATTCTAACTGGTCGAACATGAATCCTGCAGATGTGGTTGTGGCTGCACAAGAGAACGGGTGGATGGACTCCGCGGGCGTCGTTCGCTGGCTTGAGGAGGGCGTCAAGCCTTTCTTGAAGCCCAAGTTTGGCAGACAGGCCAAGAGCTCGATGCTGGTGCTGGACTCTTACCACGGTCACCTCACCCAGGAAGTGAAGGACAAGCTACGCGAGATGAACTGCGTGCCGGCAATCATCCCGTCGGGCTGTACGGCGGAGGTACAGCCGCTAGATGTCTCCATCAACAAGAGCTTTAAAGCGTCGGTCCGCCAGCAGTACCAGAGGTGGTTTGAGGCAGAAGGTCAAGAGCAGCTGACGACAGCAGGTATGGAATGAGCACGGTTGTGTTTACACCCCCCCTCCCCTTGTTGACGGTATCTTTTGTTGTTTGACTAACGGGTTTCCACCGTTCTCCCGTTTTTGTTTCAGGGAATTTGAAGAAGCCGCCTGCGGAGGTCGTCCTGAGGTGGATATCTCAGGCCTGGAAGTCAGTGCCGGCCGAGCTGATAAAGCGATCCTTCCTCACCTGTGGCATCAGCAACGCGCTCGACGGCAGTGAGGACGGCCTCGCCATGGCGCACAGGCGGAGCCAGCTGACAGCGGAAGTGGATGTCGACGATGCCATCGCTGATGGGTTTTTTGGGAACAACTGCGAGGAGCCTGAATCTAACGATGAGTAGACTTGTTAGGTAGAAGTGATGTTGCTAGACTTGCTGATTCGGGTCACTGATGTTGTAGCTGCTGTCTAGAAGTGTCATGTAAGTGATTTCAATGTAATTGTTTCTTAAAAGACTTATAATAATTCAAGGGTGGCGCTTATAATAAGTACTGAAATCTCAGGGGGGGCGCTTGTAATCGAGGTCCGGCCATAAGCGCCATGCTCCAGATAGAGGCGCCGGCGCCTATAATCGGACGGCGCCTATATCCGGGGCGATACGGTAGTTGTGAATCATCAGTTGCTCATTCTTTGAAGATGGTGGTGGAATGTCGTTAATTGATAGTGTGATTGATTTTGATGTTGTACCAAATCCTCTCAACTTCTACATGACATTTGTTCTCATTCACAAGAGAATGCTTTCCCTTTCCTGCTTTCCCACTCTGTCCTATCCCCAATCTGAAAATACCGTATGTACAACCTGTATCCAAATTCAGACAAACGTTGGTCAGGTCATGCATTCCCTTCCTCCTTTCCACGGTCAGCCCACTTGCCAGTTTCCTGCAACTTTCTTGACTCCAAATGCAGGCAGCACTTCACAAAATGATCTTCCTACTCTAAGCGATATGCAAGGCACCATATGGTGAAGCCTTCAATAGCCACCATTGCGCACCCCTCTATAGGTAGCTCTCCTCATTCTCTCCACGCCTCACTTGCGTACTTCATCGCTACCCTCTCACCGTGCCTCCTCCTGCTCTTCCAAATCTCCCTGCTGGCCTACCTGCCTATCCATCTGCCTACATCCTCAACAACATGACGCCCTTGTGGAAGGCAAATATATCTCAGCTGGGTCAGGGCACTCAGCTGCTGCAGCCCATCGTTTGTGACTGCCGTTCCACCCAGCCACAGCTCCTCAAGTCCTTTCAGCCTTCCCACCTCCACCATGCCAGCATCAGTCACCTTGGTAAGCTCGAGAGAAAGACTTGTCAGATTAGTCAACAACCCAATGCCTTCTAAGGCACTGTCTGAGATGCCTGCACGTCTAAGGTCTAGCTTCTCCAGCCGTGACAGCCAGCAGAGGTGCTTGATGCCCTCTGCACTGAAGCGAGCGCTAGATTGCAAGTTAATGCTCGTCAGATGCGTCATTGTGGACACATGGCCAAGGATGTCGTCTGAGAGGCCGAGATGATTCAGACTCAAAGAGGAATCTTGCGATGCTGATTTGATTCTCTGGGGGTATGGATGCAGAGGGAATACACGAAAAGGAATCACCACCATGACAATCACCAAGAATGCATGCCCTGTGAAACAGATCACCCCCCACTCACCTTCATTGCTATCTGCCGATGGCCTTCACTCTGCCAAATTTCAGCTTCAATATTCAACTTCAAGCCTTGTACCAACTCCGATTCCTTCAAAACTGCCAATTCCTTCCACTTCAGTATCTCCCTCC